ACTATGACATAATCGTGAAGAAAATGCTAGAAAAATGATGTCACGACTTCTCTTGGAAGTTACTGCGGTAAGTATAGTACTAACATTTTATAGTTTTTTTGCGTAATTTAATTTTATTTGCTGGTGTTGCTTCTATCTGCAAATGTTCTGCTAAATAGAAGTTATCCAAAAGACGTTACAACCGATTTAACTTTGAAAAAAGTTACAAAAACAGGTGAATTTGGACAGAATCGTGCCAAAAATATCGAAATTTTCAATAGTCGACTTATTCGCGCGAAATTGAGGGTGCATCAAAACTGGATGTATTATTTTATCTAAGGTTTGAAGCTCATGAGATTACCTAACTGCAGTCCTTTCAGAGAAAAAATTGACTGACTGCAATTCGTTTTCATGTACTCTGGTTAGAAACTTGTCACCCAGAACCCCGGGGCGGCCCAGAACGCGAGTGGAACAGCCTATCCAGAAGAGAAGCGACACAACCAGATTTTGCTTGCGCCGGTTATTTCTTTTTAATTTATTTATTATTGTTTTTGTTTTGGATTGACCCATTTTTGTTGGGGCCTTATTTGGGAAGTTGAGTCAAGATATCGCTTGTATTAACCCCTTTTGAAAGCCCCAAGACCAACTTTTCGTTTTTCCTAACAATATCAAAACTTAATAATCAAGATTAAAGGTTATGAGATGTAATAAAATTTTTGGCGAAATAAAAATGCTTTGCTCCTTTAAAATATTCTTTTACTCACTTTCTGAGGAAATGTGTGGGGGTCAGTCAAGAGAATTTGCATGTGGATATATTGAGGGTTGAAGGATTAATATGGCAGCTCTTGCGTGTTGATCTGCATACCCATGGGAGGTTGCATGGTTCATTCCCATATTATAGATTCATTCACATGTAAACAAAAAGATACATCCGGTGATAAGCCCCCCCCCCCGCCCTAATGTCACTTCCCCCTTTTATAAGCGGAAGTTGATTAACATGAAGCACTAAACTCCAAAATCTAGGGACTTTGGTGTTTGAACAACGCGCGGACGAAAACTGTTTTCATGGCAGAAAAAGTAATTTCTATCAGAAAATAGTTAGTCTAATATAATAAGTCTCCGTTATTGCGACTTTTTTTTCAGATTCTCGCAGTGTCCTATACCAAGGGCCAGGCTGGGATGAGAGCAACAGGCATTTACTTAACTTCATAACTTCATTTAGCTAAGACTGCTCCCTAAACTAAGGGCCTGTTTACATGGAGGTGGGGGATCGGTAAAAAAATAACCCTCGTTTACATGAAATCTTACAACCACGCCACCACGGGGTGCACTGTACTTTCTCAAGATTACTAAATGGTCGCTAAGCACGTGAACAAGAAAAATGCTGGCAAAACACGTGTTTTGGCGATTAATGTTCTTCTATACTCACTTGCTACTCCACCTACAACCTTCAGTGCTATAGCTTTCTATTGATGCAAAGCCACCAACAAAGTGGATATGGCACGAATTTGATGTGTCATGGGTTACCCCACCTTGAAACGTTTACATGGTAAAACCTGACCCCGGCTGAGAGGGTTACCTGGTCTGGCAGACCGGGCAGGTGGCGGATCACCCCACCCATCATGTAAACGCAATCAAATTGAAACGAGAGACTATATGGACAGGCGAGGCGGGTTACCCCACCTTAACGGGTTACCTCACCTACCTGGGGTCCCCCACCTCCATTACGGAAAGTGCCTGTTTACAGTCGGCGACATTGAGACATTGTCCTTAAATGCGGCAACTTCGGGGAACAAAATAACCCACACACCTCCTTTTCCCCTCTGTTCAAAATTGTGATGTTTGTTGTTTTCTAAATGGTATCTCGAAAGTGGCACAACATTGCATAGAGGGGGTGGGGGAGGGAAAGATTTATACTCCCTTTTTTGAGTTGACAAAACGTTAGAGAGGTTCTAGGGCAAGGGTCTCAACTAATTTTGTCGCAGATTGTAGAAACCCTTGTACGAGGTGTGACTTACTTCGCCTACACTCCATAAGTTTTTTTTTTCCCCCACAGTAGATAAAAAAAAAAACATTTTGCATCTAAAAATAATTATTTCGTAACTCCGCAAATTCTTTTCAATACATGGTACTAGTTAATGCGCTGCAGCTGTTTTCGCTTTTTTAACTTCCCGTGCGTCAGAAAGACCCAGCCTTCGACCTCGGCAATCTTACTAGTATGCGGCTAGAAAAAAGAAAAACAAAATTACAGTACATGACCCTCAGTAAATTCCATACTTCAAAACATTTTGTTTTTTTGTAGCTTACTATTACAACATTTTGAAGATGGAAAAGCCCTTGGATTTAAAGCCCTTGGACTAACAATACCAACATGGAAAAACAAGTACCAAAAATGTACCTTAGGGAGGCAAGGGGATTTTATCCTAGAATTGATGTAGATAACACTGAATGATTGTTGAAGTTCAAGCAAAAAGCTTATTTGCCGAGTCAAGCTAACTTTTGTACAATAGAAGTAATGTCACCTGTCTAATGTACATTATGGACCACAACTGATGGATTACGCGATTTCGGGTGACGCTTAGTTTCTAAAGCAATCGTATTTCTAATGTCACATTTTATTTATAGATTCATCCAGAAATAATTCTGATGTTACACGACGAACAAATTGCACTGCACAAGCTAAGTGCATAGAAGTGGGCGACGGTCCTTGTGTGTGCTACTGCATTTTCACCGGAAAAACGTACTCGGGGATTGACAACTGTCAAGGTAATAATTTCATTCCTTAGAAGCACACTTCTCTACTTATTTGTGCTCTACTTTTGGCTGCCCAGTTGGACTTCTCCACAACAGGCACCTTGTGGACAGTTAAGAAAGTGATCGTTGTAGAAAGGTGGCCGTTGTCAGAAGTAGAAGTTAGGATTTTTTTTTAGAAAAAAACAGTCGATGTATGGTCCGTCCGCCAAAACAGGTTGCGGTTGTAGCTAGAGAAGTGGCCGTTGTGAAGAGTTGGCCGTTAGTAGGAGGTTTGACTGTATGTGTTTGTCTGTGTGGGTTTTTAAAAAATTATACGAATTGATAATGAAACCAGGGGAATAACATAGTTGTAGGAAATATGATGTTGAAAAAGAAAGATGATTTTTTTGTTATTCAGATTGCACCCTGGCTTGTATTCTGTTGAACTTGAAAAATTGAAACGTATGGATTTATTTAAATAAAAGGAGTCAAACTTTGTATAATTCTTAAGATATTTCTATAGTGATATCAAACGAGATTATCATTCAGTTGTCCTTTCGAGGTACAACATACAGTAAAGATACACATCATTTCTTGAAGAATAGCTGCGATGAAAACATAGAATTTGCATTTTCTATCAAAATATGTATGTCTTTCGCACATAGTTTTCGTCAAGTTCTAGGTTCCAGGCTGTCAATTGTTTGGCTACAATAACAGAAGCTTATTAAAGTGGCATTTCCTTACCTTTCGAATTTAATCCTCAGATATAGGAGGTGACATTCTTCCAGAGGCATACATATACCAGGCCAATAAAAAGTTACCCCACCCAGATGTCATAAAACAAGATGAAGAAAGGATGTTTCAGGCGACCGTAAAAAATGGGGGGAATGTGTCAGCGCAAGTTTCCTTCAATTGGTTCGTAAGAGATGTGCAAGGTTCACCGCGCACAATTTCACAGAATCGAACCCTCGTTGAAGGAAACTCCTCTACCTGGATTTGCAGCGGTGAATTATTGTCTTTCTTCTATACTCACTTGCTACTCCACCTACAACCTTCAGTGCTATAGCTTTCTATTGATGCAAAGCCACCAACAAAGTGGATATGGCACGAATTTGATGTGTCATGGGTTACCCCACCTTGAAACGTTTACATGGTAAAACCTGACCCCGGCTGAGAGGGTTACCTGGTCTGGCAGACCGGGCAGGTGGCGGATCACCCCACCCATCATGTAAACGCAATCAAATTGAAACGAGAGACTATATGGACAGGCGAGGCGGGTTACCCCACCTTAACGGGTTACCTCACCTACCTGGGGTCCCCCACCTCCATTACGGAAAGTGCCTGTTTACAGTCGGCGACATTGAGACATTGTCCTTAAATGCGGCAACTTCGGGGAACAAAATAACCCACACACCTCCTTTTCCCCTCTGTTCAAAATTGTGATGTTTGTTGTTTTCTAAATGGTATCTCGAAAGTGGCACAACATTGCATAGAGGGGGTGGGGGAGGGAAAGATTTATACTCCCTTTTTTGAGTTGACAAAACGTTAGAGAGGTTCTAGGGCAAGGGTCTCAACTAATTTTGTCGCAGATTGTAGAAACCCTTGTACGAGGTGTGACTTACTTCGCCTACACTCCATAAGTTTTTTTTTTCCCCCACAGTAGATTGAAAAAAAAACATTTTGCATCTAAAAATAATTATTTCGTAACTCCGCAAATTCTTTTCAATACATGGTACTAGTTAATGCGCTGCAGCTGTTTTCGCTTTTTTAACTTCCCGTGCGTCAGAAAGACCCAGCCTTCGACCTCGGCAATCTTACTAGTATGCGGCTAGAAAAAAGAAAAACAAAATTACAGTACATGACCCTCAGTAAATTCCATACTTCAAAACATTTTGTTTTTTTGTAGCTTACTATTACAACATTTTGAAGATGGAAAAGCCCTTGGATTTAAAGCCCTTGGACTAACAATACCAACATGGAAAAACAAGTACCAAAAATGTACCTTAGGGAGGCAAGGGGATTTTATCCTAGAATTGATGTAGATAACACTGAATGATTGTTGAAGTTCAAGCAAAAAGCTTATTTGCCGAGTCAAGCTAACTTTTGTACAATAGAAGTAATGTCACCTGTCTAATGTACATTATGGACCACAACTGATGGATTACGCGATTTCGGGTGACGCCTAGTTTCTAAAGTGATCGTATTTCTAATGTCACATTTTATTTATAGATTCATCCAGAAATAATTCTGATGTTACACGACAAACAAATTGTACTGCACAAGCTAAGTGCATAGAAGTGGGCGACGGTCCTTGTGTGTGCTACTGCATTTTCGCAGGAAAAACGTACTCGGGGATTGACAACTGTCAAGGTGATAATTTCATTTCTTAGAAGCACACGTCTCTACTTATTTGTGCTCTACTTTTGGCCGCGCAGTTGGACTTCTCCACAACGGCCACCTTGGGAACAGTTAAGAAAGTGATCGTTCCAGAAAAGTGGCCGTTATCAGTGTTGTAGAAATTACGGTTAAAAAAAAAAAAAAGTCGATGTATGGTCCGTCCGCCGAAACAGGTTGCCGTTATAGAGAAGTGGCCGTTGTGGAGAGTTGGCCGTTAGTAGGAGCTTTGACTGTATGTGTTTGTTTGTGTGGGTTTTTAAAAAATTACACGAATTGAAAATGAAACCAGGGGAATAACATAGTTGTAGAAAATGTGATGTGGAAGAAGAAAGATGATTTTTAGAAGATTTTTTGGTTATTCAGATTGCGCCCTGGCTTGTATTCTGTTGAACTTGAATAATTGCTGTCATAAAGGGAATAAGCCTGAAAAAAGAAACGTATGGATTTATTTAAATAAAAGGAGTCAAATTTTGCATAATTCTTAGATATTTCTGTAGTGATATCAAACGAGATCATCATTCAGTTGTTCGTTCTAGGTACAACCACAATCTATACAGTAAAGATACAAATCGATGCTTGAAGAATAGCTGCGCTGAAAACATAGAATTTGCATTTTCTCTCAAAATATGTATGTCTTTTGCACGTAGTTTTCGTCAAGTTCTAGGTTCCCGAGGCTGTCAACTGTTTGGTTAAAATAACAGAAGCTTATAAAAATTGCATTGCTTTACCATTCCAATGTCATCTTCAGATATAGGAGGTGACATTCTGCCAGATGCATATATATACCAGGCCAATAAAAAGTTATTCAACCCGGATGTCATAAAACAAGACGAAGAAAGGATGTTCCAGGCGACCGTAAAAAATGGGGGAAATGTGTCAGCGCAAGTTTCCTTCAATTGGTTCGTAAGAGATGTGCAAGGTTCACCGCGCACAATTTCACAGAATCGAACCCTCGTTGAAGGAAACTCCTCTACCTGGATTTGCAGCGGTGAATTATTGTCTAGGGGCCTTAAATTGCTTGAGCTCGAAGTCTCACTTTTCAGTATAACTACAGCACGAAGAGACTTTGGGTTCATAAAAGTGGAGGAACCAGATCTTGTGGCTATGATTGCTAGTGGATACGAAAGCCTTCGTTCTTCAAAATACCCGATGCTCTTCAATGGATCGGGCTCTCATGATTGGAAAGGTAGCAATACTGGCATGGAGTTCGTTTGGATTTGTCTTGATGGAGGGAAACTTCCCCGTGTTTTCAAAGACATAAATGAAGTAACAGATCCTTCCAAAGAGGCCAAGGAACGCAAAACGACATGTCGAACCCAAGTAGGTTTTCAAACAAATGGAAGTACTGCCTGCTTGATGCATCCCTCGAAGAAACATGTTTACTACATCAAACTGCTTGTAAGAAGAGATCATCGGCGTCGAGGCAACTTTACAGCTGATTTTATGCAGACCGTGTATGCCGTAAATGAAGATGCAATAACAGTCGACATCAGGTGAACAAGATCCATTGATTTATTAAAAGATTCAGTAGAGACTTTGACCAGGCATTAAGTTTCGTTTTTACAACATCATAAATCAAACTGTTTATTTTTCATTGAGTGGGAATAAAGAAAGACCAATTATATTTATTAATCAAAATGCCCTAATTTATTCGTCAACATACGCGTATGGCTGGAATTCAGTGGTCAACATAATGTGACATTGCCGTTTCAGCCGTCAGCACCATTGATGCGTGTGACATGCGCAGTAAACTACGAAAGGTCCAATCTAAAAAAAGAAAGAACTTAGAGAAATGACTGGAGCCAAGCGAGTTGTCACAAATTCCTGAAGTCATTTCAATCAACCTCATATATGTTTTTCGTTTTCTGCAGATGCAAATATAACTGCAAACTGAAGGTCGTATCCAGCCATCGATTTGCCTTAGAAGCCAAAGCCATTGGTCTTTCTCTCCATCTTCCAAACATCAGCTACACTTGGAAATTGTACAGAAAAGGACCGGAAAGTAATGCCTCCATCACAGTGTGGCACCTTAACAAAACCTTGAATTCTCTCACCGCCACAAAGACAACAAAGAAGAACATTGTTTTCGCTAAGGACAAACTCCACGAAAGCTCATCCTATCGGCTGACTTTAGATGTAAAATTACCAAATGGGACGAGCGGTTGGGCCGCCTACATATTCGAAACAGCCTCCAAGCCCTCTGGTGGAGCATGCAGCGGCACCCAACTGGAGAGAGCAGCTTTAGGGGTTATTCTGAATGTCTCGTGTACGGGTTGGAGAGATGATCATGAACCACTCATTTACGAGTTCTACTATGTTCATAGGGAGGAAGACGAAACACCGCCCCACATGCTATCGCATGGAGCTATGCCATATAGTGAAGTTCAGTTGCCTGAGTTTATTTCAGGTGAAACTGAAATAAAGGCAATCATAATAAACACAGTAGGAGCTCGAACCGAGGTTGACTTCACAGTGAAAGTAAGCTCTTATTATATTATCATCATTATACCACCATCATCATCATCATCATCATCATCAGCTATAACCATTCATAAAGGATTGCTTAGCGGGATTGACTGCAGCACTACATTATCCTTGGTTTAAGTTCATTGTTAAATAAAAATTGAACCAAGGATAAAATTGTACCAAAGCATCAACACTAGTTATTGTGTTACTTAATTCTAAAATTAATCCTACGCCTTTGCGTATAAATATCCATGATATACACATTTTAGATACACTTCTCTCCACGTAAGGGGATAGAAGGCCATTTTGTATTCTGGATTCCATGCAATGGATTCCGGGCTCCAGGCACTGGATTCCGGATTCTTGGCTAGTGGAACTTGGATTCCGAATTCCAAGGGTTGGGATTCCTCAAGCTGTAGTCCGGATTCCATAGAACAGGATTTCGGATTCCACCAGCAAAAATTTCCCGGATTCCGAATTCCGTGAGGCGATACACTCTCGTCATTTTCTTATTTTGCCTTGGATATTCTGCATCGTGCTACATTGTGCACTGTAGAAAACAGCTAAATAGCTTGGTTTGGTTTCTATTATGCAGGTTGTGCAACCATCATTTTGGGATGAAACGGACCATGTATATAAAATGTTTGAGGAGACAGAAGCTTTGTTTGACAACTACCTTGACAATGGAAAACCTTATGGAGCGTGGCAAGTGGTACATTCCTTATTGGAGTTTGTTGAATTATATATCGACGAGCCACAAATGGCATGGTTGACAAATGATCATGTTAAAAATGTATGTCATCGTCAGTATTTGTACCTTTTGTTTCTAGTTCTTGTTAAAACACAGTGAAACTTTGTTATTACGGGCACCAAAGCACATGAGAATTTGATCATGTAAAAGAGAGTTAGACAGATAGGAAATGGTGGTCATATACAGAGGCTGAACGCCTAAAAAGGGACTTTCCCATGACCCTCCATTAGAAGAACCTAAAAATTTAGTGCCAGTGCCAACCGCGTTCATCTTAGGGAGAGTTGCAACAGATGGAGAGCATCGATAAGCCAGTTCGACAAGGTGCATCTGATAGTCTGGGTGGATGTAGTCTTGAATAACAGGGCTGTTGTTGACAGTGACTGACATTTTGTTATATGAGTCGTCACATTTGTAACCTTCATAGCCAATAACATCACGGCTTAATTGACAGGCAATCACTAACACTACGACCTATATTATTAACTGATTAGTCAGGTCATTATGACGAACAATCGTCTTATTAAGGACTACACTCGCCTGGATGACCATTTTCGACCTTTGTGATCCCTTGGTGGAAACAATTTCTGAATCCGCCACTGAAGTGTGATCCCCGCTTTATCGTAGAACCAGCCATTCAGTGACTGTGGGGGGTCTGACCTTGACAACTGCGAACTCATCTTCGCACCCTTCTCTGCCGGTTTCGTCGATCAACCAATTTGTTTTGCTCAGGACCTTGTTTAATGCCCGTTGTTTTTCTATATACGCTTTGCAGCTCAAACAACATATAATAAAAAGGCTATTTTCCATAAAAGCCACAAACCTGCAGACGGTTCTTCAGCTTTTGTCGGTTTTGAAGGAGGCCACTGCATTTTCAGACGTAGGAGTTTCTCCAGAGAGCATGGTAATTTTCCTCTAACAAGTGCACTTTAAAAGTGTAGTCGGCTTTTGCTTTCTGAACGAGAGGTGCAAAGTGGGACCAGAGAGGTTAGACTGGAACTCTGGTAACTATTAAACCTTGCACTGCTAAGGGTGGCCAAACAAAAAAAGTTACACAGAATTTCAAAATTTCATTATATAGAATGCTAAGGAACAAATAATGGCGTGTGAAAGTACTGCCGAAGAGGTTTCATTTGAATCGTCACACTACAGAATTTTCCACACAATCTCAAAAGTTAGAACTACATACTGGATAAATAACACCATATGAAAGTCATACTGAAGAGATTTCATTTGAAAGGTCACACCATAGGATTTCGTTCACACACTCAAAAGTTAGAACTATAAACTACATAGACAGCACCATGTGAAAGTACTACTGAGGAGGTTTCATTTGAATGGTGCATCACGGAGGTTTGTTCACAGTATCAAAATTTGAGCATTCGCACACCTTGCGATATTGAAACGCACATTCCTTATTTCCATGAATTCCCTTTTAATTTCAGAGAACTGCATTACGCTCTCTCAATAAGTGGGCATCTGTTGCGAAAACAAGAGTAAAAATGGAGGCAGCAAAGGACCTGGGTCTCGTCAGGGACTCATGGAGGATGTTACTGCATTGCTCAGGGAACATTCTTCAAGCAACAACACAAGTAGACACGCTTAACGTTACTGAGAGAGAGGAGGTGAGACGCCTCGAGAAAGTTTGATGCAATAACATTTAAGATAAGATTGCAAATAGACGACAAAGACCTTCTTTTTGAAAAGGTTTTGAAAAGGTGCAAACTACGTCAGGGTTTTTTTGAACTGTTACAATTAACCTAATTCAGACCGGGTTTTTTTTCCTTCCTGCGAACCCCCCCCCCTTCCCCCCTTACTCCTATATAACTTCAAAACTGCTCACGCCACGGCAAAATTACACGGAACAATGTGCTCATCATTTTCACCTCGTGGGCACAACTTGATTGACACAATGAGGCAATCTGACGTTATTATGACGTCATATGGTTGAATTTTGTAGTCAGAATCCAAATTTCCCTCAAAATAGACAAGAAAAGAAAAAAATGATATATTAAGTTTAATATAATAATTCCATTGGTAAAAATATATTTAAACCTTTTTTAAAAAATTGCAAATTTTGTAAAGATAGCCGCCAACACTCAGCTGCCATGGCAACGTCAATGTTGACGTTCATATCACGACGACTTTAAAACGTTCCCAGATAATTTTTGGGAAAAATCGGTAAGTTTGGTGCTCATAGCTTGAACGGCTGTGAAGGTATTCAACCTTTTCGTGAGTGGAAGCGGAGGAGGGAGGGCGGTTGGGGTGCTCCAGGGTCTGAATAAGGTTAAAAGTATTCATACTTGATAGCGCCAATATATCCGTTCACACAATGGCCTAGAAGGATAAATCAGCGTCTATGGGATACACTAGGACACGTTATAACTGCAGACCTGTAATTCGTTCACATCACGATTAGTTGTGATAAATTACGGGGCAAATTATCCTTCGTCCTAGTTGTTTCTCTGCTTTTTAAAGAAAAAAGCATTGCCAATGGAATCAGCCGACGAAGGATATTTCGTCTCATTGCTTTCTTGCAGATGAAAAAGCTTTCGAGAAGTGCTTTGATGCTGAATGAAAAAATCTCTGACGCTGAAATCTCGACGAAACTTCCAGGCGAGAAACACAGCTCTATGAGAACACTCCATAAAGATGTATTCGTTGGAGTTCACGACGCAACTGACGTTAGCCTTTGGGATTTTGAGGAAGATGAAACTAGCGTGACATTCCCATATCTTAGTAAAAGCATGAGCCAAGAAATTTTTGGCGATGTACAGCAAGTTTCTTTTCAAGTAAGGGTGCATGTGCTAGTGCGTGGTTATATACTAAAAACAAATTTACCACGCAGCAAAGAGATTTCATTGCATGAGGCAGACTGGCAGAGCGGTTACAGGCTCTGCGTCCGAGTCCCATCCTGACCGCTAGCTGGACTTGTTCTCGGTACTCCCGAGTTCAAATCCTCGACCACGCTGGTAAATAGCTAACTCTGGTTTGCCTCCGGCCAGTTGAGATTCTTAAACCCTTTATGTAAAACATATTTCCTTGATTGTCTGAGTGTGAAAGGGTTCTCTTATGCTCACTGCAGCGCTCACAATTTGAAAAGTCAAACTAGACAAAAAATGAAAGCCAAAGCTCACCTGAGATGCAGCTCCTGTAAGCCTATTGTCAGGACAAGAAGAAAGCATCACCCCATTTTCATTTTTCGTTTTGTTTTAGATTATAAACTACAAAATGAACCCCTACGCTGTGCACCGGTTTGACGATGACATCAATTCTCAAGTGGTGAGCCTAGTATTAAAGGACGAAGCCGGTAAAGTCATTAAAGTCTCAAATTTGCATGAAAACATCTCGCTGACAGTCCCATTGAAAAGGCTTCCAAATAAAACAACGACCCCTGTGGAAACCTACACAGTTCCAGATGTTATGATGTACAGAGTGGTGACTACAGATCATGAAAGTACATCTCTAAGAATCTTGCTAACACTACACAGGCAAGCGCTAATGGAAGTTTATGTCAAGTACGGCGGCAGGCCAACGAAGACGAATTACGATCATGCTACAATTTTGCAAAAAGAAACTTGCCAAAACGACCTACAGTTTTGTAATGTGAGCCACTACTTCTGGTTTAATGCTGAAAGACCGGGACAATACTTCATCGGTCTTGTTCAAAAGCTGGAAGAGGAGAGTCCCACCTCGCCGCTGAATTCCGTTACGAACGGTGTACCATTTAAGAACTTAAGAAGGAGGCGAGTTGCCAGATCTCTCGAAAAAATGAAAGACTCCTATAAAAATCAATGTGTGAGGTTCAAGGAAGCGCCGAAAGAGCATCCAATGGTTGAAAACAGCACGGGTTCCTTGCCTCAATACGATCCTGAAAAGTCTGTTAACTTTACCTTGGAAGTAGACGCGGCAAGGTGTCTTTACTGGTCTGAAGACAAAGAACTGTGGATGAGTGAAGGCTGTAAAGTAAGTATGGTAGTTAACGCAACGCCGACTTAGTTGTAGTATTTCCCAAACCATAGCGGAGACCATAAAACACTATTACCATATGAGTTTTTTATTATTATTATTTATTGTTTTTATTGTTTTTTTTTCCTTTTTACCTAAAGCTTTTGCAGCCGTGACATCATTTCAGCTACCTTTGCTTGATAATAAATCACCAAATAGAAAGCTGACTAACCTCTCGTCCAATACTGCCGCATTGGTACGGACCGTTAAGAGCAGTTGACGGATCGTACGCTCCGTACAAACCGTCAGCATTGCTGACAGTCAATATTCTGATTACACTCAAAGGCTGCATCTCACTATTACACCAGGGAACAGTGTGTTTGTGCAGGATCTGTACGGATCGTGCGAGCATATTGGACAACCCTCAGAAAACTTAAGTAATTTAACGCGGAGCATGTTAAACTACAACGCCCATCTGTGTGTCATTATTAGTAAATTCGTTTCGTTCGTTTTCACACCAGACTACCCTTTTTAAAATGTCCTACCAAAGGACTCTTCTAAAAATCCCAGATTACACTGTTTCGTATACTTTTCATTTTTTTTTAAATGCAACAGGCTGGCAAGAATTCTACTCCAACTGTAATACAATGCCTTTGCAATCACTTCACTTCGTTTGGGGGCTCGTTCCTGGTGCAACCAAACAAAATGGACTTCTCTCAAGTTCAAGTGGGTTTTCGAACAATTAACGATCTTTACGATGTCTTGGTCCTTGTGTCAGTACTGCTCGTATTTCTTGTTTACTCGATCTCATTAATCTTTGCAAGAAGAGCTGACAAAAGGGACTTAGAAAAGGTAAACTTAGAAGATAATTGGAGAACGTAATTTGAAATGCGTTTTGTGAGGCCTATACACATCTTTGCTTTCATTTATCTTTAAAACAAGTTTGCAAACTTCAATTACAATGAGTTGCAAAGAAGATTTAGGCACTTGAACTCTTAGCCAAAAATGGTCTTCCGTCTATATCAGACTTCGCAAGATTCTTGCCCTCTTCCAAAGTTTAAAAGATTCCAAGATCTTATGCAACACTTTCGGTGACACCTTTCAAGAAGAAATTTCTTGTACTTGTAAGAATTTTTTCTCTGCGGTGCTCAGAAATGTGAAAACCGAAACTCTTGCAAAAGTGTCTCAACTATTCTTCAGCTGGTTGTAACCTATAAAGCAAGGCCGAACTCCTTTATTACCACATTCGCAAGTAGTCCTGTGCCACCACCGTACTACAAGGCCGGAGGTGCAGTAACCCCTTCAAGTTGTGTCTTCCTGATCAATACCCTTATGTCACTAATTATTACTCAATTTTCTTTTTAGATAAGCGCAGTTATATCCATGCCCTCAACCGAAGACGCTGTTCATCGATATAGCGTCTCCGTAACTACCGGAGCGTGGGCAAACTCCGGGACTTCGGCAAATGTTTCCATGATCTTGCAAGGCATTGAATCTTCCAGCGGCGTCATTGAGTTAAAAACCGACCAACAAGAAAGCGAGAGTACTTTTAGTCGAGGTAACATTGACAACTTTTTTCTTGCTGTTGATAAGCAGCTTGGACATTTACAGAAAATCCGTATTGGCCATGACAGTTCTGGAGAGTGCCCCTCTTGGTTTCTGAACAGCATTTCCATAACGGAAATCGAAACAAACTCTAGATGGATTTTCCCTTGCTATCGTTGGCTTGCCTTAGAGAAAGACGATGGAAACACAACATTAGAACTCTTTGCCCTGAACGCAAAAAAGGGTCGTGACTTCAAAAGCGAGTTTAACAATGCTAGGCTATGTGGCCTTGCAAACGACCACCTTTGGTTCTCTGTTGCTACTAAAGAGCCTAGGGATACGTTTACTCGTGTGCAACGAGTGACTTGCTGTTGGTTTTTTCTGCTCTTGGGAATGCTAACGTCTATAATGTTTTACATTGGGGATACTGATACAACGCAAACTATAAATGTGGGTCCTTTAAGGATGACTGAAAGAGAATTTCAAGTTTCTGTTTTCAGTGCTTTAATTTCCTTTCCTCCAAGCTTCCTCGTTGTGTTCATGTTTAGTAAGAGTCGACGTTCAAGAACGCGTATTACTAATGGCACTGGCGCTGCTTATGAAGAAAATGAAAAGTTCGTGCTCCCCAATTTCTTTGTCTACATTGCTTGGTTTGTCTGTGTCGTCGGTTCATTGCTAGCTGGGACTTTCATCATTCTCTATTCGTTACAGATGGAAGGAAAAACTTCAGCACGTTGGCTGTCTTCAGTCTTCTTGAGTACCATTGAAGACGTTTTTGTTACCCAACCAGTGAAAATTGTCATTCTTTCTGTTCTTCTGGCTTTGCGACTCGCAGGTAGAGGAAAGCAAAGAGAGAACCATGAAGAACCAAATAAGGTCGAATGTGGTGACTCCCAAGTATTGTTCACTATGCCTGAGGACGAAGTAGAGCGTAAACGGAAATACAGGGTTACCGAGAGAAAGACCAAGATATTTATGAGAGACATAGCGTTTTCGTGTATCTTCATAACTCTCCTCATGTTTGTATGCTATGGTGACAAAAATGAGAACCGATATCGCATGGCTAAATCCACAAAGAATGTTTTTGTTAAACTTGATAAGGTAAGAGAAGCCGCTTCTTGAACAATATCATCTTACTTACGGGCCCATACAAATAACGCTCAAGTCAGTTAAGTTGGATTGGAGCCTTTTATGATGCGAGAGATGATTTGCCAAATCAACCTTGCCTAGTTCCTGTACGGCGTTTTCCCAGGTCCTCTCGGTCAATTCTCTTCGGTGACGTATCCGAGACGGTTGGACCATGTGACCCGAAAGGCTTTGGCTGCGCGGAATAATGAGGCCTAGCGACTAGGCAACAATCAACCTATTCTCGAGGTAATCTTATGATCCATGGTGCTGACTAAAGAATAAAAATAGCATCTCTAAGAAGCAATCTCCTCGCCAGAGGTTGCGGTCCTTTTTGTCAGCACCAAGGCTCATGTAATTACCTCGATAATGGGTTGATTGGTCTTCCTTTTCGTGCATGTGTCCATTTTCTTGCTGGGTGTGCCAAGACCATGTGGCTGACGTGAAAGGCTGCTAAAAGTAAGAAACACATTGCGTTCATGTATGCATGAGTATTCGCGCTTGAAGGGCTAGGGAATATGCCTAAGCGTCGTTTCAATGACGTTTCCAAGTCTGCCTAGGCAGATGGATCCATCCCCTTACCTCCAAGCAAGTGTTGAACAACTTATTGCTGTTGCGTTGTATTAAGATAAATGCGATAAAAACCTTTCTTGCACAGATGCATGGAACTGCCACTCTTGTTTGCATCTTAGATTTCACGCAGTTCATGTGTTCATGCACTCACGGGTATTTCCTACCACCCAACGGTACCAAAACCACAAGCCTTGAGAGTAAAGAAAGAAGTAGGCAGTGAACTTGAGCTATACTCATTGGGACGATTAAGATGTGTACACCGGCATAGTACCACTAATTAACAATGTTGATAACTACTTGTGAGGTGTTATGCATTGATGGATGGTCTGCTAAAGTTCTGTCAAACCCAACCTCTTTTGTAGATAAGGGACAAACCTCACTTATGGAAATGGTTTGAAGATGTGTTGATTCCAGCAACCTTTGCAAGCGAGTGGTATAATGGACAGAAAGAAACAATAACAGAGTATGTTGGAAACAAACGGTCTATACTGATCGGCATGCCACGTTTGAGACAACTAAGAGTATTAAAAGGTAGGTACAAATTGATTCACTTATCTTGACACTTATCGGCAACAACAAGCAACCTTCCACCTTTGGGGCGTAAAATGGGGGAGGAGGCACCAGATGCTTGTCGTCTCGCGTAGGGGAAGAAATTGTCAGAAAACAGCCGACATTTTGCGCCGTCCCCACGAAATAATGTCTCGGAAACGAGCGCAGAAATTTTATGCTGATGACGTGTCACCACCCATATCTGGGCAGTCCCTCTGATTGGTTGAAGCAACTTTCTCATCGACCATCAGAATCACTACCCAGTTCTGGGTGGTGACACTTCATCAGTGTGGAGTTTCTGCACTTTAATACTACTTTTAAATCATTGTCAATTAATGATAATGACCCTGACATATTAACAGCCGCTGATTTAAGCTAATCTGATTCCGATTAACCATGTAAAAATGCTTGCTCAGATCAATACTTTCTTTTTATGTAGATTCCTGTGTTGTTCCTTACGAGTTTGCTGATTCCATTCCATCCTGTTACGATTTTTACGACGAGAGTAACGAAGACAAAATGGGTTGGAACGAACTATTGAATAACTCCTTGTTAGACTTGACTAACATTGCCTGCACAGAAAACTGGAAATATAGGACTGAAGAGGAGCTAGGTGCCCACCAAGGTCTAGGACAGCACGCTCTTTATAGTGGTGGCGGTTACGCTGCGAATTTAGGATATGATAGCAAAACTGCCTCCGCGGTTCTAAAAGATCTGCATTCCAACGGATGGATAGATCGTCAAACCAGAGTTGTAATAGTCGAGCTTTTTATGTTCAACGTACCCTTTGAATTATTAGCGAAGGTGATTATATATTTTGAGATGCTTCCATCGGGCTTTTTAGGAGCATCAATTGATATCCAGGTCATGCCATTATTTAAAAAGAATCCTGCATCTGTCGGCGCCTATCAAGTCGTTTTTCTTGTTTTTGCCTTTGTTCTTGGTTATTATCTGGTGAGTGAATGCATCAGGGTTTATAGGCTAAAGTGGTCATACCTTGCATCAATATGGAACTGGCTTGAAGTGATTCAAGTTATAAGCGCAACACTAGTCATGGCATTTTTTATCGTAAGAGAAATAAAGATACTAAGACTTCTGCGGAAAGTCAAGGCTAATCCGTTCGCTTTCATGAGTTTTGATGATGCGTTATTCTGGTTCCAGATTGAAGAGTACATGATCTGTATCGCAGTTACCGTTGCCGCTCTCAGACTCTTGAGACTTTTGAAGGTCATCAGGCATATCATAGAACTGTTTGTCACGATGAAGAAGTCATTGAAACCGGTCATGAGCTTTTGTGTAGTATACGCCATCTTGATCTTCGCATATGGACACACAGGGATCCTTTTGTTTGGCAAAAACGTGTTCATGTTTTCATCATTCAAGCGAGTAATAATGTATCTTTTCCACTTGAGTCTTGGACGTCCACCACCTCGGTCGGAGTTAGAGCAGGTGAATGCCGTATTTGCCAGGCTGTATTGTCAGTCTTTTATTTTTCTTTTTATGATAATTGCAAGCAACATGTTCATGGCAATTTTAAATGAGGCCCAAACTGAATCCAGAAGTATCGCCAAGGACAGCGACGATATAGAAGTGGCTAATTCATTACTATTAAAAGTTTATATCTTTTTAGGCATAGAATGTGAGGATTCTCCATCTGAAAACAGGAGAGCTGAAATATCGGGAAAAGGTCCTAAACGAGAAATTTTATGTGCCCCCAAAAACCTCTGTGAAAACGAAGCCAAACAAGCGGCAATTCCACTGAAAAGTAAATCTGGGAGACCAAATCTACGCATGTCCAAACTGGTTTCTCCAGCAAGAGATTCTAGCAATATAGTTGATTATGGCATACCATCTGTTTCACAAGGCTTAACTTACGTAAAAGGCAATCCCTCAGAGGAATTACAAGTACCACCATTTGGACATCACTCAGAATCAAATCCCCTGTGGGAAAATGAGAGTCTCCAGGAAGCCGAAGTTCAAAATGAGTTCCCAGGTACATTTCAGTATTCTGTGTACCCACCTGGTTCTACATTATCACTACCCTCTTGGAGCTCGGATCAAGGTCAAAGGAAGTCGTCAGAACATCTCCAAAGTTCTCTATCACCGGACACAACTCATAACATATCTACTATTTCGTGCAATTCAATCAACGGGCAAGGGGAGACTCCAAATGCCCGTCCATCTTTCACTGTGTCACACAGGTCAAAGGCATTGCCACCGTGTGACATTTCAGGCGATCGACGGAATGAGCCAGAACCTCACTACATTTCGGCTGCAGGCCGAAGCCAAGAACTTGCAGCTGCATCGACTGTTTCAGTTCAAACAAATGTCTCCAATTCAAACAAATTCATATATTGTGATCCAATAGAAGGCGGAAGTGATTTCCCCAACCTGAAGAGCAACACTGATAGTACAGTGCACTTAGTTTGGGAGAAAAATGTGAGACATGTAAGATTGGATACAATTAAGTGTCAAGTCGACCACACCCATACTCCTTCACTCACAACTAGCGTTGGTTTCAGGGAAACATTTGATGACAATAACGCTCTAGCAAGTTGTACCGTAAAATCAGACGGAACGATTACTCTAACATCCAAAATTCGAGGAGCGAAAATGGTCGATTTCGACAAAGTCAGCGAATGGATGAAAAAGGCAAATGCCAGTGTTAATAACAACACTGCCTCAACAGAGTGTTCGCGCTCCGCAAAGCAGAAAAGCACGTTTGGCAACTCTGCAGTTATTGACTTTGATGAAGTAAGTAAATGGATGAAAGGGATGTCCACTATTTCCACTGACGCTATCCCCAGCGCTTTCACCTTGAGAAAAAAGATGAAAATGATCGGGAAAATAACGAAGTACTCAAGAAAAGAGAAAGAAAGTGAAAGAGTCCCAGTGACACTCAAAGACCGACTTAAGAAGCTTGACAGTTATTTACAAGGTTTAGATTTTTGGGAGTGAACAACGGGTGAACTTCCACTTACGGCTCGAGACCATAAATCACCTTCAAGTGACACTCAAATACAGACTTAAGAAGCTTGACAGTTATTTACAAAGTTTAGATTTTTGGGAGTGAAGAACGGGTGAACTTCCACTTACGGCTCGAGACCATAACTCACCTTCAAGAACCCATTTGTGTCAGCCTATTTGGGCCACACGAATTCTCTGGCACGGGCACACGCAAATACACACAGAACAAGCAATCTTCTAAAATCTTCAAGTAATCTCTCGGTATTTTAACTCAAACTTGGTGTCTTAATGAACAAATATGGCTCTGCACAATTCATAAGGACTCTCATTTTATTTCTCTATATAAAAGTTCTCTTTATAGGGATAGAAATATACATTTATCTCACTAAACTATAATTAAAGTTAAGAAAATGAGTGATCTAAGATCACAAAAAAAGATATCACATGTTGTGGCTCATTTTACTCTTGCCTAAATTTTATTTTCCTTTGTTTGAAACTCAATACATGTATTATAAAATTCCAAAGGAAATCATTCGACCGCACTAGTCACAATCAAAAACAAAGGAAAACAAAATATTAACCAAGGATGAAATTACACCACTACAAACAAGTTTATGAGTACTTTCCTGCAGTCTTAAGTAATTCACTAAGGACTAAAATCTAACAGACGACTATACATAATGAAAAGAAACTACTTACAGCCGATATTGGATGAATCAATGGGATCTAATTTAGTGCTGGATGGAAAGGTAAATTAAGTCAACTAATATGCAATCTTACTTTAATAATTGTCGCACTTTAAGTGCACGAAGTACAGATGTAGTAAGAGGTAAGCCATGATCAATGGCCAATTGCACAGTAAGAAAAAAAAAAGCATTTCCCAACTCTTAGTTTACCGTAAGACGCGGTAAAATGAAAACTGTTTTTCTATTTAAATAATTGTCTATTGACTATGCACAGTACGCTCTGCGCCCCCCCCCCCNTATGCAAAGTTGTTGTTGTTGTTGTTGTTGTTTTTTTTTTTTGGGGGGGGGGAGGGGGCAAACAGACTGTATTTGATGGTGGATTCAAAATATAGTAAATCGCTTTTCTAACTAATTTATTTTAAGTCTTGGACTTCTTCACCCTTAGGAGAGATCGTTATATCATTTTTGATGGGACTAACTAGACATTTGCTGAATAATATTTAAACTATTTCACAGTTGTTTACTTCAGGCTTATTTACATCTACATCTTGAAGTCGCTTAGGCCGAAGCTTAAACGCTCATACGATTTGAATACGCTACGTGTGGATGTGTACTTTAATAAAAAGGAGAAAAATAAAAACGTTCTCAATGATAATATCCGGATACGTGTCGACGAGGCCTTATTAGTTGCAAGCATAAACAGGGAACTCCCGTGTAGTCCAGTGTGACGTACACCTATGGGTGATCTGACTCTCGGATCTTCCCAGTTCAACCGTGCTACGAAATGGCTTGAGCATCGAGCCAAGTGTATCGGCAACCCAGGCTGCCCATTATAACAAATTTGCGCCGGAAGTTAACGGCAGCGTTTATGTCCTCATCTACGGTTGTAACCACATTCGTCTGGTTGTGACTAGAGTGGACATCTTATGTTTATTACACAACGCTATACTCTGGACCACGCTAGTACTATAATTAGGCCAATTTTACTGGGCACGAGAACTTTAAGAAAAGTGGGGAGATCAGAGTAAGAGACAATTGTGCAAGGAAAAGAGTTGAATACAGGGTTTAGCACCGAAGTATAGTGATTGCACTGTTCTGAAAACGGTTACCTTTCAATAATGTAATGATCAACGCAATGTAAAGTACGTTAAAATTAACCGTTCTCGGCAGTTAGCCCTTGCTGGTGTAGTGGATACGGATATGGATTATACATCAAATGACGCGGGTTCAAGTCCTTCATACTACCTCCTGTTTTCTTCTGTTTCCTTTCTTCTCTTATTTACTACTTTAAGTTATAAGACTCCGTATCATGTATTTTGAGTGAAGATGACAATCTGACTTTGGGGTATCCATTCTAATCACAACCGTATTCGTCTGTCATACGTGTAAATAAGCCCTTACTTACCTATGCAGTATCTAACTTTTTGTTTATTGCAGCAGTATGTGCGTTGATTCCACGAAGTTATTCAAATGTATCAATAAATTATTCTGCGATTAACATGTTATGGTATATTACAATCATTGCTACCTGATGAAGCTCTAAATTGAAGCTTAGCAAGCTTGAAACAAAATATACTCTCTTTGCTTATAACCACCGATACTATGGAAAGAGTGTGGTATGTATTTTTTTTTATATGACAATACGAGTCATTAACCTGGAAAATATTAAACCCAGTTTCAAGGGAACGACTGAAGTGGTGACACTTTTTGCTTTCAAGACTCACGCACTGTTTTAACATAGTGACAAAACCTCTTCTTACATGTCACCTCTGAGAAAAGCTAACATCACACTTACTCGACAAGGCTCAAAACTGCTCTTCAGGAACCGGTGATACTTAATTAAGCAGATAACAGGAAACGAACAACGAATTCTAACATTCTATTCTACGACATGGCTGGACCAAGGAATGGAAGAAGATCCTACTATAGATTTTAAACTATTAACAAGTGACAACAGATAAATTATTATATAGACAAGAGTGTTTTACTGGAAAATATACCACTCGTAAAATTCATAAAAACTACATCTGGGACCCGAGTGGTTTATTTTCCATAATCTCACACGTGAGTTTATCCATGACGTAATTTAGGTAATTTCCCTCTCTATGTCTTTTTGTCTATATAATAAAAAGAACATTACACGGCGGCTTGAAGATATGAATTTTATTTTCTCGTGGCACAACAATATTTTACTCACTCGCTTTGTTTTGCGACTCGAAAATAAAATTGATACCTTCGCGCCACCGTGTAATATCCTCTATATAATATTTCATGCGCATCAACCAAAATTTGAATACAAGATTATGTACCTTGCTCTCCTCCAGGCTTTAAGCCTTGAGGCGAGTGCCGTGATTCAAGCTTGTCAACAATCTCTCTCAATCTTCCGAAGATATTTATCTTACTATCCCTCATTTTGCTCTACTAACGTACTTGGTTGGTACCCAGACCCTGCCGAAAACAGCTGAGGAGGTGTGGTACCCGGAATATAGAGGTTTGAGTTACTGTTGCTTCTCTGAAAGCTTCCACTGCGCATGCCTGAGATGGAACCGTAGGATCGCGCTGCTCGACTAGTGCCGTTGACACTTGGTGAGGGACTAAGCACACCTGGAATATTATAATTACTGAAAAACAAACATAAAAAGATAGGGCGTAACTTGAGTCACTGTCTCATTGTTATGTCGCCGCGGTTTATTGGGGGAGAGGGAAACTAGCTTGCAATGTAGGCATTTCCTGGGGACCCGTGAGAAGTCCAATTCGCTCGGATTGTGGTGCACAAGTAAGTGAGGGTCAGAGGGTAGGGGAGACTGGCGAGAAGAGCTCGTCGTATTCTCCCCCCCTCTCCCCCTCCCGAAATTCGTATGCTGACACTGTTGATTGCTTATTCTACTTTCTCTGACTTTCCACTGCTTTTCAAAATTAACGATGGTTACTGTCTACAGGAAATACCTAGCGTTCACAGAAAACAAATGGATAAACTAAGAAATACCAGGAGCCCATAACCCGGAGCAAGTAACTTCCATACTAGGCCTATGTCACGGCGTTTTTACGGACCAGTTTATTTTTAGACACATTTTAGGGCACTTTTCCCGCGAAAATAGAATCTCCGAAATGTCTATGAGCGAATTCGAAGTAGAAGATCTCAAAAAGGAAAACTAAACGTCATCAAAAAGCAAAAAATATTATGTTTAGGTTTGTAGGTTTTGCTGACTGGTTTTTGGAATTTAAAAGGTATACAAAATTCGCGCCAAACCATTCTAAAAATAACCTGGTCTGTCGGGTGAAAACGCCGTGACACGAGCGCATGGAAGTTGCTCGCTCTGGATTATGGGCTCCTGGAAATACATAATATGATAAAAACAAAAAACAAAAAAACTACACGTCGAAAAATAATAATAACAATGACAGAAAAAAATACTGCAGCTCTATACTGGGTGAGAAAAGCTAGAACCCTACGCCTCGTTTTTTTCCCTCTCTCGACTGACTACCTGACTACGGTAACATACATAAGTGATTTACCCTCTACAAGACACATGCGGATTGGTCAGATCCTCGTCCGAGTCATATCTTCTAGGATTGTCAAAGAAATAAGACTTTTTGTCGTAACTCTGCGACGCAATGGCGGAGGGTCCCTGAAAATTTTAGCAGAACACGTATGTTTACAAGGCATCCATGGCAAATATTAAGCAATTATCGGATGAGGCTAAGTATGATACGAACAGTAATGCAGATCTCGAGTGTTATTTTTCATATCATACGAAAGCCGGATCCAATACTTGTTTTGAGTGAATTTCTTCGTGAACGATAAATCTGCAAAGCTGTTCAGTTGGTAAAATGGCTGATCATATCCTACGTTCTGCGGCATATTCGTTTGCAGTTAAGTAGATAAATGAACGTATTTTTGTAATTGTGCTGTTTCTTCCGTGCGTAGCGTCGGGCTACTAATGGCGTGTGACATTTTCTGAAGTTATGCACAACGGCCGCCAAGCTACCTTCTTTGCGTGACGTCAATCGTCGAATAATAGAAATATAATCGGACTAATGATGTAATTCTTACAAATTTGGATAATGTTAGCTGGTTATGAAGAATTAACCGTGGAATTTATGGCAATAATAGACGGATAAATATTTGGAATAATGATAATAACCGCTAACATTCCCTTACTTTTATGCAAATTCACGACAGACGAATCCCTAGGGCAGCTGAACACCGACGCAAAACCAGAGAAAACTGGAAGAACTTATGCTAGCAAACGAGGGGAGCTACAAACTGAAATTGAGTTGTCTGCTGCTTGTTTAAGCATTATA